TGACACGTACTGTTGAATTGATTCTTTCAATCAGAAGTTTCAGTGGATTTGTAGAATAGATGTTATTTACTTCTGGACAGAAATGTATCAGCTTTAGGGTGTTTAAATTTTCTTAAGGAAATGCTTGGAAGTCTGGCATTGCATCAGGTGGTATATTAGCACTATGTAATAAGTTTCCTGCTTCTTACACCCAACTGCTAAAAACTAAGCTACTTAGGAACAGGTATTACAGTCTGAAGTGTCTAAGCTGTTGTTCCTGGATCACCTCTGCACAGAGATGTAGAAGTCTTGAAAACTGATGTTTGAACATGATTTTAAAGCTATTTCAATTTTTTCAGAAATTATTTTGTGTTTGTGTTTAAACGTAAGCTTTAAGATTGTTGAGTAGGATCTCTTGTTTTTCCTCTGAATTTGTTAAACTGTATCTTTTCCATTTCTGCTCAGCAAAAAATACTTAAAAACTTATTCCAAAAGGCAGAGATGAAAGTGTATGTTCTGCAGTATTTAGCTATCCATCTGAGGATCAGGTCACTTTTTTCACCTTGCTTTCAGTGAGAGCAGTGGCAAAAGTGACTACTCTCAAAGAACAGAAAATAAAATCTAATTTATTCCTATAAATTATTTTTGGTTATGTTAATCTTGAGTATTTATTTACATCTAGAGCAGGGCCAAACCGTGAAACAGATGCCTGGCGATTTTTTTTTTGAACATTTATATATACTAGGAAATTCTAATGAATTTTGTATGAAAACAGATGTTTGTGGATAAATAAGCCTTTTTGTTTATTTACGCATATTCCACAAAAAAAATCTGTTTAATCTGTTCTTAAAACATTGAGCCTGAAAAATTGAGAGGTTGGGATGAAAGGATTTGCTGGATCTTTTGTCTGAAATGAACCTAGGTTTGCTCATCTGTTTGGGGGGCTGCTTAGCATTTAGGAGGGGGAAAGCTATTCTTCAGTTCACATATGAAAATGTACAATACTTTATATCAATTATTTGGCTGATTGCTGGAAGTGCGTTGAAGTGAAGGGGCATAGGCTAGTTCTGGCCTTCGCTAATGGGAACATTTCAGAATGTGGATGGTAATTAAAGTATAGAATGCGGAAAATTAGGCCAAAATTGAATAGAAATGAATAAGTATGTGTTCTGTTGTGCAGATGTTGGAAATAGATTATTTTGGATCCCTCTTTCTATCTACATCTTATTTGGTTACCATGTAAAATTCGGTCATACACCATGTAGATTGTTTCTCTTCCCATTACCTTTTCTGTTTTTATGTTGTGATGTATCTGTATAGGTAGTAATTTAGCAAAATATCCTGTCTGCCAGGTGTGGGAACTAGCTGATTGTATTGTAATACCAGATCATTACTTAATTCATATGCAACCTAGCCTAGCACATGGAAAGCATTATAAATCTATTTACAGTGTGGCTGGTCTGATGATAACATTGTATTAAATTCCCAGGTGAGGCAATTTAAGCAATTGCTTTGCCATGTGTAGGCCATGGAAATTAACTTCTCATATGCTTTAGTAATAGACGAACTTCATTGGTATGCTCAGATTAGTAGTATAGCAGAATTCTTACAGTCTGGTTACGTGTACTCTGCTTCACATGTAGAATCATACAGGGGGGTGGTTCTGCAGATCACAGATCTTAATTAGTTTAAGCTGAGTTAATTCATTTCAATTCTAATTTAGCTGGGCTTGCCCATGAAGACATTCAGTTCTATTGGGAAATGTTAAGGCTTGGGTCAAGTAGACAGATTGTTTAAAGCCAAATTGCCAGACAGAACTGAGCAAGTGTATCTGTTTGAACAGGGCTTTAAGGAAATCACCCAATCGGTATGCAGAAATCCTGTTCATAAACCAAGAGAGGTCTGCTTGGAATCAGAAATTCTTCCTTGTCAGAAGGAATGGGTACTGTAGTACATTTAAAACAGCCCCTGAAACTTTCTCTGTCTTGAAGTTCCTGTAGAAAGTAGCTTAACCCTTTTGTGTCACCCTGTGTTTGGGCACATGGTACATTTGAAACATATACACTGAGCAAAAGCACTTGTGTGCTTAGACTTTTTGTCTAGATATATACAAGAAAATATAAAATACCAGGAAAACTTCAATATATGACAGACCTTTACAGACAAAAAAACCTGCACACAGAACCTCTTAAACCTATATTGAGCTGCCCAGAAATGCCTTGGATTACGAACTCTGTAAAGCTTCTGTCTTTTCTAGAAACATACATATAAAGTACCAGTAGGCAGTGGTAACTGACAACTAAGACTAAAAATGTTGACAATTTCTTGATTTGCCTGGTTAGCTTATGTATAGAAGTCATTAACTATTTATAAAATGCATTATGAATTGGGTTCCTTCAAACTGTAGCAGAGTGTGTGACATTTCCAGCTCAAACTATCATTGCATTTGGCTAAAGTACATATTTATAAACAGCTGATAGTTATGAATAAAAAAAAAATAGAAAATTATTTAATTACAGAGTTCAGACAAGCCAAACTAACTTGTATAGCCACATTCGGAAGTGTTAACCAATAATACTTTAATAGAAATAAGAATAGTAATTCAAGGTATTGATACTTTGGACAAATCCTGAAAGAATAAATGAACACTTCAGTACAAAGGCCTTTCCTTTTATATTATTGATTCATTTGGAAGTGAAACTGTGATCAAAACTAGTATCAAATTATTTATTGATTATGGCAAAGAGTTGTAACTAATTGTAGTCAAAGCATTATTTCTTTAATATAATTGCTGATTTTCAGATCATGACAGATTATTGCAATAAAAGAACAATGATACAAATATATTTATTAAGTTCAGTGGTGATGATATAAAGGATTATAAAGGGCCTCTTAAAATTGTATTGCTATTAACATTTATTTCTTTTCCATAAAGTATATGCTTTTTCCTTTCTCCCATGCTGGCTCTTAAGAATATCATCCACTTAAGTCTTGCAAATAAATGATGTGTAACCAACCAAGGACCATCTCAGTCCCTACATATTATTAGGCAGCTTGTTCACTGGAGAACAAACTCGTGAAGCATCATGCTCCTCATCTCAGTCTAATAATGATAAATACATTCAACTCTAACAGAATCAATGGGGCTGAGTCATTTTGTGAAATTGGGGGAAACTGTACAATTGAACTACTAGACCTCAAATGAAGTCTTAAGACTGAATCTTAATCAGACAAGAAGATTAGATATTTATTGGTATATATTTGTAATTTCCTTCCTTATTTGATATGTATCAAATAAAAATAGGAAAATAATATAATTGAGCAATCTATGCCAATTTGTTGGCTTTTTGGTGAAAAAAGAGAAAAACAAAACCGATCTCCATATGATATTCTTGCATACTGTGGAGTGTTTTAGTCCCCCATAGTGATGAAATGAATAATTTAAACAGGCAGCTCTGATACCACAGCCTGTTTAAAGGTTCTCATTTCCTTTAATGCTGTAGACTACTTTAGCTTGGTTAGTATGAAACTGTGACAGCTGAGATCTCCAAAAGATTTGGCACAATTCACCTCATGTTGTAGGTCCGTGGTATGCTTTGTCCTTTCTACATCTGTAGCTTTGGTACATAATCTAGATCTGAACACTGGCAACTGAATCACAAACGGTAAGCTTTGTAATGATGATATTGGTTCTAAAGGGTGAACTACACAGTATAAAGAGCTAAAATGTTTTGCTCTGAGGTGACCAATGCGAGGCTTACTCCACTGCTAGGCCCCAAGCATAAGGGATGACCCACTTCTAAACTTCTTTGTCACAAAGGTAATGAATTTCCCTGTGCTCAGTATAATTTCTAGTGGGTTGTTTCCTGACCCTTAGTCTCAAACAAGTCTTTTGGCATGATGGAGCAATTAGGGAAGGTTTGAGGAGGGGTTGGGTTTGTCTGAGTTCCCAGTGGTAGTCACTGCCATGGCAGGGTGTGAGGGAAGCTCCCATCGGTAAAAGAAGGCCCTACAGCTTAGTTCTTGCTACTCTTGGGTTTCTTCCTCTGATGAAGTTTAAAAATTATCATAACTACTCTCAAAAAAAGAAAGAAAAAAGATAGAAAATATGCTAAAAACTCTGTATCTCTTTTAATGGTAAATATTAACTGACTAAGGACCCATTATTTGGCTAACAGAGACATTGAAAGCTGGGCTGATGTTCTCATTATGGACTTCCCCATTGTTCCATTGAATGCTGTGCTACCCTGGTAATCTTCAGACATTTACTTTCCATTACTTGGCACTTGCTCTAGTTTAGAATCAACATGATGATCATAAGCTGTGAATAACAACTGTAAGGATCCCATGAATGACTGTCCCAGTTTCATGGTGTTTCCTTGAACTACTGTAAACCAATATTTCCTTGTCCTGTTGTTTTTTCTTCTTTCTTTTGCCCTTTAGTTTCTAATCCTTTCCCAGTAAGCCATCATAGCTTTAGCAGCATAGAGAAGTCTTGTTAATTTTTTACATCTTTAAATGCAATCAGGTATATCAAATGTGTGTTGTTCGGGTTTATTTACGTTTTATTTATATAGGAAAAACTCAATCTTCCTTTCCTGTTTAGTGGCATCCCTGCAGTTGAGTTCTGTGTCCAGCTAGCAAGCGTTCCTCAAAAAAATACGTTTGGTTCTTGCCCTGGCTTTTCTTGATTGCTTCTGATATCATTGTCTATTGCCTCTCTGGTTACTCCACTAACATAACTGGGATCACATATTGCTTATCCTGAGCTTCACTGAAGCTGCTTTCATTGCTGCAGTGTTAAAGGTGTGACTGTCTTAGAAATACTGAGGTTTTACCATGCAGATTTGCCAAGATACAGCAGTTGAAGAACTTTGTAATAACTTTTACTTGCAGATTTATTTTTTTTTTTTTATCAAATAGGTATCCATTAGGGGGCTCTCGAGGTTTAAGATGATCAGCCTTGATACCAATGGCTTCGGAGCTTTACTTCCTAACCCTTTTTTCTTTTTGTTTTACAGAAAAGGTCACGAATCGCCTACAGTGATGAGGTGCGGAATGAGCTCCTAGGGGATGACGGGAATTCCTCAGAGAACCAGGTAGGATGCTAATCAAGAAGCCCTAGTGGGTGGCTGGAGGGTGAAGGAGGTCACTGGCACACTGGGCTTCTCAAGCTGCTCCTTAACAGCATTAGCAACAACTCATGTGGAAGTGATACTATTTAATGCAAAGCTGGGGTCTTAATCAACTTCAAAATGTTTCTTGGAGATCTTACATTTAACCCTTTAACTTGTGATCACTGTCTGCTATCTTAAAAAAATTCTTTTCTTCTCTTTTCTTTATTATTTAGTACTTAAGAAATAACTTGAAACACGCTGTTTGCCGACAAAGCCAAGGTCTTCACCTCAAACACATGTAAAAGGAATAAAAAAAGTACATAATGCAGCTTTGATAATAATGCAGTATAATTAAATCAACACTGGCAGGCAAAACAAATGAAAGTGCGCTCAGACTTAGGCAGTATCCCACTCAGTTTCCTTGTGTGATTCCTTCCCTAAACAGATTTTCTCTTCTTGTACCAAAACCACAAGTTGTAGTAATAAGAGCATGCTTTCATAATGTGTGTTGTACCAGGATGCAGAATGCTATCCATCGTCTCTTTTAATGGATGAAAGCTTGATAATCCTGAGGCTTTTTTAAAATCTTGTACCCGTATTGTTGTTCTGGATACTACAGTAAGGATCCTGCTAGACTACCCAAAATTATAAAGGCAGTGTTTTATTCATGAGACTTTGACCCACCTGCTAATATTTGTTTAGGGGCTGAAACTTGTTTGGCACTTTTCTGAAAGCAGAATATTTCTTTTCTTTTTGAAAATTATGTCATTAAAGTTGTGCATTTTGCGTTAGAATTTAGCTGCAAGTTTTCTTAAATGTCAGATTTTCTCTTCTGACCTTATATAATCCGAATTATTTTGTAGTGAAAGTGAAAATTGTTTAAATGTTTACTCAAGAAATGTGATACTAAATGAGGAAATGGATCAGAAAAATGTTCTGAAATTTTTTATATCCTCTATACTCTCAGTACAAGCTTAGCTCCACTAAGAACAGAAAAAATAAAGACTTGGAAACTTACCCGGTACAATGACTTTCAAAACACAGACCCTGTAACCCTTATTCTTATACAGTATTTTAAATATGCTCTATAAGTTTTAAACTCTTTAATAGACTTTAATTCAGACATTAATGAAAGTATACACAGGGTACAATTTATCTGGAGACATAAAACTAGATTAGAACAGCTCTGATATCTATGTGAACAATTAAATATAAAAGATATTAATCTTCATATTTACATATTATTGCAAGGGGAGATTCCAAAATTTGAGTAAAATAAAGAGTGGGTTTTATCCCTAAATAATGAATTTATGGAAAAGGTGATTTTAGGGAAAAGAGTCTGCATGTCATGATTGTAAATTTAGTCATGTGAAAGTGTTACGATTCTCATTTTATTTCTCTTAAGGTGCTGCTATTTTTACTTTTCAAGAAAAAATTGTGTGAATTCAGACATAAAAGGGCAATTGTGATTACTTATAACAGAATATCTTATGGGTAAGGATGAGATAAAATATTTTATTTTCACTTTTTAAGGAATCTTTAAATAACTGGGTCATGTGTGCACTTTTTGTGAGGTATGATCTTTTTCCAAACGTGGTGGAAGAGACATGGTCTCTTCTCAAGGAACTAAATGATACCTTCAACCAATTGTCAACATGAGGGTTTTTTCTTTCAAATGAAGAAATGGAAGAAAATGTTGGCTGCTGAAGGAATTTTGTGTAGTCTTTTAGGTAATCAAAATCCTTTTCCATAACCCAAGTTGAAACTGTTATCCCTGTACCTTTGAAAGTTCTGAATTCCCTTCTTGAAAAATATTATGAAATAGCACCATGACGGAGTCACCTAATTTCTTTTAAATATGTGAATGCCAGTATTTTTAAAAATACATTATTTTTTCTGTTGTTTTGATAATAAATCTAACATTTATTTCTTATTATTAAATATCCTTATTTATATCTGTACTTCTATACGTGCAGTTATGAGTGCAAGCAGTTAGTGCAAAAGCTTCAGGGAGTATTGAGCTTATTAAAATGTCCAGCCATCAAAATCACATGTAAGGTTTGGGTACCCAAATGATACCCAAATGATATATTGTCATATTTAACTCGGTAACCATGGGTCTAATACACTTTCGTTCCTATGCATCATTATGTTGGTAGAAAACTTGAACTAGGTGATAGAAAGATGCTCAGGTATAACTCACAGCCATGTAAAACATTTGAAAATGTTTCAAATGCTTGCTTTCAATTTCTCTGGTGGAATTAAATATAGGTACGTGGACTGGCCCTGACCCTGATGCTGTAGGACTTTTACTTCTCAATAAGTTTGGATTAGGTTAAATTAGTTTAACCAAACAACAGTGGGTTTGTTTTCCTCAATTCAGTCACCAAACTGTGAAAGCAAGAGAGAAAGGATTCCTCTTCTGACAGGAGGTGTTGAAAAAGGTTGCCAGTTCAGAATTGCTCCTGTACCAATCCACAAGTATTGGTAAAATCTGCCAATATAAATACTGGATGTCTGAGGTGTTACCCAGAGGAAAATAAGAGACATGGGTAGCACATTTTAGGTATAGTCTTGGTTGTCGTGATAACACTTGCATAATGTTTTTGGTGGAGAAAGAAGACAAAAGGAATTTAATGTATAGCAGCTAGTATGACCATACTAAATATCGAGAAATAAATAGGGCACTATTGGGAAAATAAACAATCTGGATATTTTCATTATTCAACTTCTTTTTTTTTGCAGTTGGGTTTCAAAGGTACAATTACAGTGAACCACAGCCAAGTTATAAGCTGTAATAGGTAGGGTGATAGGTATGAGTTTCCAGTTGTTCTCCCAAGAAGAAAGATTGAAGTACAAGGAACAGCTTGAAGAATTAGCAAATGATGATTTGTCTTTTGTCTTCTTTGTTTTTCCAAAATGTCTCCCATAAGTGTCAGCCATTATGTCTGGATGACAGATTAGAATACGATTGCCTTATAATGTGTACACTAAGACTTAACTAATTTTACCAGATAAAGTATACAAAAATTTCCTCTGAGAAGTTGTAAGAATTTTACAGTTCTGCTATTGAAAGTTTCTTTTGAAATAAATGTGTCTTTGTTAAGTGAGATAGGTAGTGATGTAGTGCTTTAAAGCACTTAGAGTTTAGTAAAGACATTGCTTAGCATAAATTAATTTCTTCTTAATTTGAACCATGTGAATGTAGTCAAATGAGGCACTCAGAGGTTGAGAATCAAGAGACATCCCCTCTTGCATAAAAAAAACCCACCTCACTCACCAAATTCCAGAAATTGTGTTCATTGGGTTGTTATTTATTTTCTGGGAGTGGTCTCAAACAGCCTTTGTTGCTTTCAAGTCTTGTTTGTCATCCTGGCCACCAACATTTAGCAAATCCCTTGAAAGTTTTTCATTCAAATCCCTGGAGTTTTTCATTGCAATGGTACACTACTTAAAGTTGTGGCTTCTCTTTAATAATAATAGAACTGTTTTATGTAGCAATTTGTATGGTTTTGAGACAGAATATGTTGGGTTAAATAAGAAATCCTTGTCGACCAAAATAATGTCAGGTACAGTATTACCAACTTCCTTGAGATGCAAGTGTTCCTTTCTCTTTTGCAACTATGTTCATTAGTAAGTTTAAATAGATTCTCATTAGGTTAAACTGCGTGTCCATATATACATGCATTTTATAAGTGATTTCTGGTGAACAAATATTTTGTGGCTACTTAATTTCTGACTACAAAGTTGTGATAATATTAGATTTGGACTTGCTGTGCATAAAGTGTGTCAAACTTCAGCTACAGACCAGGGGGTGAAGTTGGTCAATTTAATTCGCCAAGATCTAAAGAAGGTCGGTATCATTTCATATAGCCCTGGCAGAGCAGATCATTACCAGACACAAATCTGTTCGTTACATGCCGAGGGTTTATAGCAAAATAAATAGACTGTCATCATAAGTTCAGAAAATTGTGTGTTCGACCCACGATAATGTGTAAAGGGCGTTTAATAGAGTTCAGCATTTATTCGTTATCTATATGCGGACAGAGACGGCGGTAGCGTTATCAGCTTTTTAAAAAAAATTCGGTAGTTTTCTGTGTCACGTGACATGCCTCACAGACACACACACGCGCACACACACACACACACACACATCCCATCTCGCTCCCTTGCTCTCTGTGGCGCAGTTTTGATTTTAGTCACAGCAGAAGGCTTAACCACAAGAGATTCCACTGGTTCAAACCAGCGTAAACCAGATTTTTTTTTTTTTTTTTTTAGCCTACAAAGGAACAGATTACCTCTTGTATCGAATTCTGTATTGCAAAAATAAATAAATAAATAAATCTTTGTTTCAAAAATATGCTGATTATCATAACCTAAAATGGTGGCTGCACACGGCTTAACGCTGTTTATAGTTCAGCGGTGAGCATAATAAAAATAATGTTTTAAAATGGAAACGTAAAGGTAACACATTTTCATCAAGAGCATTGTTAAATGGGGGAAAAATACATCTTTTGTTAATTTGAATGAATATCTTTCAGCCAACGTTAAAAAAAAAAACAACCAAACCCTCTCCCATTACTTAGCTTAGCTGCAAATCCCATGCAGAGCTTAAATTCAGCCATGCAGCACAAACAAGATAGAACATTTTTGTTTGGGACCTATTGAAAAAACAAATGTGCAGCATTTTAAAACTCTCATTGATTATAGCAGGGTGGCATGCCCAAACGGACTCTATTGCGGGAGAGTCGTTTTAAACTTTGGCCCTTTAAGTATCATAGTCAACTGAAGAATGGTGGCCTCAGAAAGAAAAGATAGCTATGTGATCAACTCCCAGATCGTCTCTTTCTAAAGAGCCTTAATGTTTGCCTTTTTGGGGAAAAAAGGGGGGGAAGAGCTGGAGAAAGAGACCAATTTATGATAGGCCAAGCACTTGAATTTAAGCATTGGTTTGGCGGACAATGCCGTTTTCTTTATACCAAATTCTAGCAAAGTTCCTTTAAGCTACGTGCAGAGGAGCTAGTTCACTTAGAGTCGGTGTGGTGTAGTAGCCCTCCTAATTACATCTCGTTAGAGCCTCGTTGTCGGTTTTGTTAACGTTCAGTTTTAGACCAGCCATATGAAACAATAGAGAATAATGGAGGTTCTTTTGTTTCCTTCATGCTGGTGAGACTTTAGTAGTAGTAAACATTCTCAGCTTACATGTGTTGAAAATTAGTGCTATGAAACTGTAGGTGAAGTACCAGCATAAACTGAGGTAATTATGTAGCTGTTGTAATTTCGAATTCAACTGGAATCGGTGAGAGAACTGTAATTTTTTTATAAAGAGCCACTCTTGTGCAGACATTTATTGTGAGTAATTATAGGTTTTGTTCCAGAACAAATAATTTCTCTATCTCTCTAAGGGGAGAGTATATTACAACATGGCTTGATAATCAGGCTGGGGTTTTATTTAGTTTTATGGTAAACCTACCACAGCAGTATTATTAACAGATTGTGTTGATTTACAAGCATAAATTAATAAGTATAAATGTATATACTGTATAAGTATGCACACACATACTGTATAGTGGATTAAGAACCCGGAATGGGTCTTTTCTGAGGGAAATATGTTTCATGTTGTTCCCTATTCCTTTGTCTATTTTTAAATATGCTGTTCAATAAATCATAATTCTGAGCCATTTAACTAAACTGCTTTTTTTTTTTTTTTCATGGCAAAACCCCTCTGTCTGAAGTTCAATAATAAAATTAGATAATATAGTTACAGTAGAACTCAGGTATATAAAAACTGAAATACTGGTTACATGCTATAAAGATGCAGTCATCTATTAATAAGTTAGATCTGCTAGTAAAATAAGAAATCAGTTGTCACAACTAAAATATACAGAAAACATTCTGCAAACTTGTATATACAAAACCACTTCAGCTGTACAATCTTCGAAGAGAGGAATAGTAAACTTGTTTTTTTCTTTATAATATAGACTTCTATGAAGTCATTCCCCTTTATTTCATGATGGTGTCTTAGATGTGGTTTAAAAGAGAATTTCACACTATTCTCTTTGTTTAATGTGACAGTGTGAGAAAGTGATCTTTATTCGTTCAAAAAACTCTGCATGTAGTCTATGTTTAGGTTCTTTTAATGTGTTTGTCTGTGATTTTTAAATGCTAAACATGTAAACAGATAAATTGTCAATGTTAATTCTGTATCCTGTCACACAACTGATCTTTCTTTCCTGCCATTTCTTTCCTTTTTATCTTTTTTGTGCGTTCATGTTGCAGTTGATAAAATTACGTGAAGAGGTGAGTACTTTCTTGCTTTTTGTTGTCTAGCTTTCCCTTTAAAGCTGAGTTTCTAAATCTGAAGTAGATCTTTTTGTTCATTGTTGCAGGGAAATCTACACAAAGCAAAAATATTGATTACATTGCTTTAAAATATTCACTGTTGTGCCTCTTTTTCCCTAATAATTGTATACTTACATAGGAATCTCTAGATCAAACCTTAGAAATTAACATTCTTTGATAGTGGAATTTTTTTAAAAGGCACTAGAAAAAGAAGGGGGAAAAAACCCCTTTATTATTTGATCTCTCCTAGAATACCATGATCAAATCAAGTACGGTAATAATCATGTTTGCATCACAAAATCTTTGATAGGGAAAATACATTTATACACTGGTATTGAAAATTAAAGCATTGCTTTGGTATAAACCTTTGCTGAAGCACTGTAAAAATGAAACAGCATTTCACAGTGTTTTGAGTTTGGTGTGAGGTACTCAAATAGCTTATGTATTATATTGGATATTGTACACCCATTGAAAATACAGTAGAGGTAGGTAGACCTGCACACACACATATCAATATTTATTATTTATTTGTGAGTGGTGTAGATCTGTAGGTGTAACGCTAGAGATCAGTATTCCAGAACACCTTTCTTCTAGTTATAAAATGGATCATAAATATTTAGAGAGAAGCCTGTTTTAATGGTCAGTTCCTCAAATGTTTCAGTATATTTTCTGAAATTAATCTCTGCTGTTACTTACTGCTGTAGCAAAGCAAGTATTTGAACTGCTATTTTTTTTATTATTTCCCGGTAGCCACTGAAAAGAAGGTCTGAGTAAAGTCAAGATTCCTTACAGGTCAGATTTCTGAAGGGTTTCATAACGGGGCGTTTGGACCAGTGAAGTATTAGAATAAATATATGTAGAAGCATGAGTATTTTAACATCACATATTTGTCTGGTATCTTCTTTGTGAAACATGTGTGCCCAGTAATGTATCAGGAATGCATACTGAACTCTGCGGGAGAGGATTTGTAAGTTTTAGAAATGGTGATGACAAAGAACTGTAAAGTAACCAGATTAAGGACAATTACAGAGAATTCTTAAAAACAGGTAGATATTTGTGATATAAAGATTCTTTCACTAGTTCCCCAAATGCTTTATTTTCCCTTCTTTTCGTGGAGTTGATATTAATATGTAAAACAGTTAACAAAAAACAAAATTAAACAAAATAAACATGTAACTACATGAAAGCCTTCCCACCACTGCTGAGCTCCCCTCCCCAATAGTCCCAGTATTTAAACAGATGACAGTATTGTTGCAAGGCTTTGTATAGCCTGATTTCTGAGATTTTTCAGAAGAACAAGGTTCATTTTCTCATCCCTTGAACAACGCTAGCACGTCTGCTCCCATGCTTTTGCAAAGAATATAGTCGGATCATTTTTGCTTGTGAACATAGATTGTAGTTTTATAAACACAAAGATTCCTAATTTGTAAAATTACTCTGAAAATTTAATCTTATGTCAGGAATAAAGCTGCTACTTATATGCTTTTCTTTTTGAAATAGCTGTGAAGGCTAGTAAGAAAATTCAGGGTGTTATTGCAAAGGGCTGCAACTTGGGAGCTATTCTGAACTCAATCATACCTTTTGGATCTTATAAATCCTCTTTGTTAGCCACCTAAAAACAATTGGTATTGCTTCTGGTAATTTATTTTTTTTGTTTTTCCTTGCTAACCTTATAAGTTACTTTCCCCTCTCTCTGCATATAGTGAAAGCAGCAGCAAATAGAACTAAATAAAGGTATTTATTATTTTGCCTGGATCAAAATTGTACAGGTAGAGAAAAAAAAATTTAAAAACCAATGTCTGACATTCTGTTCTCTGCACTTTAGTACCCACTATGTGTTGGATAGGCTGTAATTGCAATGGTGTTTTTATACCCAATGCAAAATGCACATTAAAGTTTAAATGAAGGCTAGTACAGTGACTCAGGCATAATTCTTAACTCATCACATAGTGAAACATCAAGGCATCCCCAATTATAGTTCTCCTAAGGAGGTATGAAGTGATCTTAAAAGAAATTGTGGTTTGCCATACTGTTTGTTAATAAAACCTGGGCTTCCTCTCATTACAAGGCTCTCTATTCTAGCACACTTGCCGTACACAGGCTTCCGTGGAGGCTGTGTCGCTCTGTCTTTTGAGCTCCTGAGATCTCAGTTTGAATCCAGCCCACATGGAATGACTAAATCTCTAGTGATAGCATGCCACTTTGCAAAACTTCCTTATGTAACTCCAGATAGAAGCTGTTTCTGAAGCTGCGAGACACACTGAATCACCTCGCTGCCCCCCTCACAGAGTGCAGGGGATGCTGTGGGAGAAGGAGTTTGGGGAGGGGTGGGAAGCAGTTGAAAGCATCAGCTGCTGCTATAGGGCATTGATTTCATGTCCAAAGGACAGGGTGCCTCCAAATCCAAACAGTGTAAATGACACCACCCTTTATAATAAAATTAGGTTTCATTATAGAGTGCCTTGGGTGGAAAGGTTCTGAAATCAAGTAAGAAATGGCTCTGAGTTAATGTTAGCATTGAATTCACAGGGCTTTAGTATTCTAATTGCTCACAGTAAGACTGAACTGAACTGTAGGCTTGTAATTTATTTTATTTAAATGTGGGTTGTATGGTTTATAAAAATACACAGTTAAATGCTAATTCTTTCTGTTCAGTAGCTCTTTCACCTTGTAATGTGAAATCTGATTATTTCCTCCTCTCTCTCTTACCATAGTAGAATAGTGTTTTCATTTCCAGTATACCACTACAGCCCTATATATCTGTTCTGTGATCAGTGTTCTACTTCTTGTGCTCACTCCCAGCCTTTGGTGTGTTTTTTGAAGTATCCTCTCTCTTACTTTTAGGATTCTTACCTCCTAAACTCCTTTTTATATACCCCTATCCCCCTTTCTCCTCTACTTTTCTTTCTTGAGAGACATCTGTGTAATAGTGTTAGGTTTCTGATGTTTTTTACAAAGTTTAAAATATTTAACACTAGTTGTTCTTGAATAGATTTGGAGGGCAGTATTTGGAGAAAGACACTACACTCCTTTTTGTTTTTTTCCTTCTAATGGACAATGAAGAGGATCCAGCAGGTGTTGTGAAAAGGTGGCTTTTTAAAAAAATTAAGCAAAATTAACACTAATTATCTAGATTGACCATGAGTACTAAGAACATGCACCACTCTGGTTGCTGCCGTGATTTCAATTAAAGCACTGTAGCTTATGGTTTTAAATTTTATTAAGTACTTGTGATGATTTTTTTTTCTTGGTGGCCTGCCCCCCATGAATGCAAAAGCCTTTTTAGCAATTTACTCTTAACCTATCCACTGTGTATTAGACAACTCTATTAATTATTATAGACTGTTATTGCAGCTTTCCTGACCTTCACATTGGGTCCTATCTGTGCTGATCTAAATGCATTGTTTTAATGATTTCCAAAAAAAGAAAGAGAGAGGGGGGAAAAAAAAAAAAAAAAGAAAAAATTCAAGGCAAGCTTTGATGTGGCTTTAGCTGCCTCGATCGTCTGGCCGCATCTCAGAGATGTGTCACCTATGCCGGGAGGGAATAGGGAAATCACGTTTTGAATGGTAATGATAACATACTAATCACTTCCTTTCTTTGAAGATAGAAGCGAGATATTCTGTCAGCATCCCTGGCTGCTAGAGCTTGGAGGCACTGGTCTAGGTGTATTAGCTTAAGTGTGCATGTCAATACAGCTTGCATCTCCCAAGATCCATAGGGGCTCATTAGAGCAAGGTAGATCGTTTCGGTAGACAGCCACTCAGATAATATGTATGGCACCTCCTTTTTTTATTATTATTAGAAAGCATTTCTTCCATTTTAAAATGACATCTGTCAACAAGGCAAAGTTGTAGGAAATATTTTTTTTGACAAATACCCAAAATGCGTTTTTTTGGGTAAAGGAGTGCTTGGAAAGGGGTGTGTGGTTACTGGGGGGGGGGAGGGGGAGGGGGAGAGGGGGTTGGCTTATATTTTTTGATGACTTGATTAGAGCTGGTCTAGGAACAAATTTCCAAAGGAAATGAACTTACATGGTGAAATGTTGGTGTTTTGGATGGAGAATAAACTAATGAAAATAATAATTTCACATTTTTCACTATTGCAGCCCCCCAAGTGAAAATGTATTGGAAGATGCATTTTTATCACACTTGATTGTTATCTCATAAATGGACAAATGACTTCTGGGAAAAATATCTTATACTTGCATCTGTGTATATTATTTATATATTCATATATATTTAGGCATAAGAGATGTAAATCAAGAAACCAGTGTTTTGTTTCTACATCTTTTTACATCAAACAGTCTGAAGAATATTCATGCTGCTCAGTATTCAGTATGAATAGCTTGTTGTTTTTATCACCTCACTTGAGTAGTACACATAAAGGAAATATATCCTCTGCTGAAAATTAAGTTCATATTAAAAACTACGACTTTCATTTAAAGTGATGGTTTCATCAAACTGTAATTGAATAGAAATCATGAGTGCTTGCATGCATGTGTCACAGAGAAATCTATTTTGGAAATGCTCTTCAGACAGGTTTCCCATGTAATTGTTGCATTCCGTTTTATTGGGTTCATGTAAGAAGAGTGAAGCACATATTCCGTGTTTCAAAACAAAAATGATTGGTACACATAATTATGATTGATCATAGAACCTGCCCCTTCCAGTTGTCCTTATAACAGGCTCTTCCATAAAATATACGTGGATATTTTTATGTTTTGGAATATGAAAGCACAATTAAAAAGGGGGAGAGAACATTGTAGACTGCTGCCTGATTTTTTTTTCCTCTCTCTTCCTTTTTCTTTTTCAGAGGGCACATCTGCTCGATAACACAGAGAGGCTGGAAAGGTCATCTCGGAGACTAGAGGCTGGATACCAAATAGCAGTGGAAACCGGTAAGAATTCTGAGAGTGAGCAAATTGTCTTGCTTATGCACAGCAGTCTTCACAACACATGACATTTCAGGGAAACTTCAAAGGCAAAACAGAGACAGCAGCCCGAGATGTGGTTTACATATTGGGGAGACAATTGGGAGCTTATTTGCGCTTATCTTTTTTCAAGTTAAAAGGCATGACATCTACTGAAAACAGTTCCTGAGGTTTAAAAGTATACATCTGAAAAGAGATGGAATACTTTGTCTAAATTCTACATTTGTCTTAATATGCAGTTACATGTTGTCAGTTTACCCACCCGCAATGATTGCTAGCACACACTGCAGACTCCAGTTGTTTTTGTCTTTTACTTTTATTCATATATGTAAAAAATATCATTTTAATACATTTTGTAAGGTATTAACTGCAGTTGATATATAATAAGGCTATCAGCTCAATTTTCTTGCTATCAGTTCAGTGACTGATTATGCAGCTGTTTCTGTGCAATGAAAGAAGTAAACAAATCATACCCCAAAATGTAGAGATGGAATAAAATTAGGGGAGAAGGCTAATTTGCAGTGCAGTTATTGAATTAGCCTTTTTTTTAATTGACTACAACTTTTCAGTTGGTATTTTCGAAGTGTTTTTGCTAAGTTGTAGCAATTTACAATGGATTTTTTTTAAACCAGCAATAGTTAAGCCTTCAAAGTCTAATCCCCTTAAATAAAGCTTGTGAAAGTTGAAGAAACTTTCAGAAAATTTATATTTGAGTCATGAAGTTATTTTCTACCAGAAAGTCATAATTAATTGATATATTCCAACGTATTTTTTAGAATTCAAGCCTTATAAGAGGTAAATTGAGTTGAACCCTTATGCAGTTAAATATGGCTGTGTTCAATGAATGGTATTACTAAAGTGCCTGTGTTTTAATTATTCTGAGCTTAGTGCTGTGCACAATAATAAAATGGGTGTATGGAACATAGAGTGCAGAATTTGGAGGGGACAAGAAGAATTAACTCTCTTATGCCAGAGGATGGCACATTAGTATAGATGGATATATGATAGCAATTAAGTTTGCTTTCTTGCAGATTTTCAAGTCTCTTCTATCAGTGACCAATAACTTGTTTTTAGGACTATTTTAAACTTGTCAGATATGGTTCCTGATCTGCTTTAGTTGAGCCTGGATCTTTCACAAAGAAACAGTATATAAAAATTCAGACTGATCCTTTTGGGGAAGAGACATCTTATATCCTTTTTTACTCCATGTGGAATTTGTTTTATGGAGATGATGATCATATTAACTTCAGTTGCATATCTCCATGGTGATTTCTGAGAAATATGGTTGGAGTGCAAATGTATATTTATATGGAAACAGTGTCTTTCAGTATCAAAACCAGGTGAAACTGCATTGAATTCCATAGAGTCACACTAATTCACCCCATCGTTGTATCTGTCTTTACTTTTCATCTTATGCAGTGATATATAAACTCTGTGAACACTAGAAGTGTAGTGACATTACATGACTTCTTAATATTAAATAATTTGGAGATGATGACTTTGGAATTATTGTCATCATTGTAATGCAGATTTTTTTTCCCAAGATTTTTGAGGAAGCTGAATAATTATAATAATCCTAGCACAGATCACAATGATTCTAGGTATGACTGAATTTAGATAAGTTCAGTGCAATGAAAAAACTTACTTTTGGAATTACTGTATCAATTCACCTTTGAGTTGACTCCTCAGACCATGTCTTTCCTTGATTGTTACTTTTACTGCATAAAGAGCTTCTCTACAGTGCGCTGGTGAGACCACTTCTAGAGTGCTGTTTCTAGGTCTGGGCTCTCTTATACAAGAAAGACATTGACTTACTGGAGTGAGTCCAGCAAAAGATCGTGAAGAGAATTAAGGGAGTGGAGCATCTTTCATGTGAGGAGAGGCTGAGAAAGCAGGCAGTGTTCCGTCTGGAGAAGTGTCAGTGTTGTAAATAGCTGATGGGTTGGGATGAAGAAACAGGAGCCAGGATCCTCCTGGTAATACCCAGTGACAGGATGAGAGGCAATGGGCAAAAATTAAAACCTGTGAAATTACATCAGAACATGAGAAAATAACTTTTTACTGTGGGAATGGTCCAACACTGAAATAGATAGCCCAAAGGGAAATGAAGTCTCCATCTCTGAAGGTTCTCAAAATCCATGTGGGCACAGACCTGACTCTAGATGACCCTAGAAAAGGTTTGGACTAGGGGATCTCAAGATATCCCTTCCCACCTCAACCATTCTGTGATTCTCTGGAGTGGAGTTGACAACCCTTAAATATCTCTTCTGCTTTATTTAGATGGTGTCTTTTCACAATTATGGATATGTATGTTGCACATTGTAATGAAGATGGATAATCTGCACCTCGTGAATAAGTCTCATTTGGGTCTTTTTTATTACCTTAATCAGCAAAAAAACATATACTATTTTAACCTGCCCCTGTGATCATCTCAGGATTAATCTGACATCACATAACTAATTTTATGGCATTTCACATTACCATTCCTGAAACTTACCATGATAAATTGGAAGCTTTTTTCCTGTTTGCATCTCTAAACTGATAAGCCCTTTCATCTTATGTACAGTTGTTCATACAAGCTGAGATCTGTTGGAAGGTCTGACTTCCTTCTTTGAGCAGTGTCATTGATTCCTGGGCTTCAGTGGTGTCTGAACAGGATACCACTTATGTCACCATCCCTAAGATACAATCCAGCACTGACTGTCAGGCTTTCATAGTTTGTATACTGTCATTTGTTGATAGTGAGGATGCTTAAATCTATGCAGAAACCTCCTGAAGGACTAAGCAGAGCCTTTAGTATCAGGCAACCAGTTCTGGAGTACTCTAGGCCTACTGTAAGCAGAGGAATGCTATTCTAATATTTGCAAAAGTATGTTGCAAATTTAACAGGCATTTGATAAGCAATTTTGTACACCAGTGAATTTATCAGAGCATTTGCTTTTAAATTGCTTGAATTTTATGGCAAAGCCACACTCAAGATATACAGAGAAACCATGGGTTATTTGAGTCTTGAAGGTCTCTATTATTTGTACCAAGGAGGAGAAGTTTTTAGTAATGGCTGATAACACTGCAGGTGCACTCATCTGCTTTTTTTAGTTCAAAATACTGTTTTAAAAAATATTTCTTGTTATTTTTCTGGTTTTATGTTATAATTTGCTTTGCTTCTTAGGAAGTCTACAGCTGTGTCAGTAGGCATTTCCAACATTGTTCATTATTTGCAACTGTAGAACTCAGTATGCTTAATTTCAGGCCATTTATTCTGATCATATAGTCTCAGAATGTGAGAAAGATTTTAGGAATGTGTGAAAATTGCTATTTTGAGTCAAAAGGAGAGTTCATTGAATTAATCCCGATGAATCACAAAATTCTTTCCATTTTGGAGGGAGAGATTTCCTAATTTTCTTACCCATGCTCAGATTTCCACAGCCTCAAAATGAATTCTAGAACTTCCTTATTTTGTCAGTAGAATATAGCATAGTAAGTTATACACTTCTTTGTCAAGTCTTAGATATGTTTGCTCCAGGAGTATTTTGAATGAGGAGTAGTTCAAAATGCTTCATTTGTCTTCAGAGATAAAATTGGCATGGAAGTGTAAAACAGTGTCAAGGAGAAGAAGAGCACATCTTTTTGTAGAGGACCATTGTACACTGCAGTTGAATTGTTTTTGCTGAGTTCTTCTCAAAAGCCAGATACTTTCTAGGAAAAAAAAAAATCCTGGTGTTTCTATAATGTAGGCTTCATCTCATTTCACGACTGTGAAAGAGAGATCCAACCACTGAATACTGTCCAGAAATTCATGGCAAAACTGTCTTGTGGGTATTTGCTTATTTTCCTTCGTCAATCTTACATATTTCTATAGTTTTCAGTACATATAATTTGAGATGAAGTGTGGAGCTTGCCTCTGTGAGCGATGATTATTGGATATTTTGCTGTGGCTCTGACTATCTGAAATATCTGTGCTACTAGAAGAGTTTGTAGTTTGTGGATAATAGATCTGTTCTTTGCACTGAATCTTAAAATGTTGTATTGGCTTCTGGTGTTATACCCTTTTGTAGTATGTAAACATAGTGTTTTATAGTGAAGAAATCAAAGGAAGAGAAGTCTCTTGTTCCATTTACAGAAAATTGTTCTGAATCTTGAGGTTACTTGAAATGTCTGGGGTTTTTTTCCATCCTCCTTGCTCTTTGGGAATCTCAGGAACATGTAACTGAAACAGTTAAAGGAGAAATATCTCTTAGCAAGAGACACACAGCTTATTTCCCACCCTTGTGTGACATGAATAATTCTTGTTACTAAGGGATCCAAGCAAATTTCAAGGGCTTTCACCTCTTGTAATGAACTACAATCAAAACTCCCTTTCTGGACTGAGCCATAAATGTATAATGCAGTGTAGTGGTTGCCTACAGGCTTATGGTCAGACCCACCTCAAAGTATTGGCAGCTTACCTGTTGGAAAGCAAATAGGAATCTCTGTAGACAAAGTTGTATCTTTGCTTCTTTATGAAATAATGGTAGTAGAGTGAAAGTATGTTAATAAATGTTTATAAGGAGCTCCTGAAGGCAGGAGTCTTCAAGTTCATGACTTTAGCATGACAAGGGAACTGTTTTAAAACAAGTCCAAGAGGTGTCTTGCCAGATGTGAGTAATGGAATTTGAGGCACTAACACATTGTCCACAGCAGCATGTCACAGATTTGGATTTCTGACACCTTTACTGAGAGAACAACCTGAACCCCACACAGCTACCCTGAAGAACCTTCTCCCTCCATATTCCATGGACGATTGTGCTGGTCAGGTGTCGTAAATGAGATGCACACCAGAGCTGGCATAAAATATGTGAAACCATAAAAATTAAAGTAAGTATATCCACTAAAATGTTTCCATTTCATTATGGTTGCAAGAGCTAGAGTTTGACTTTTCAGGTACAATCAAACTAAAAAGTGTTTGCTCAGCTTAAAAAAAAATTTTA